CTTCTAGACATCTAATAGGCATGACTATCTTCAAATTTCCTGTAAAAAAAAAGATACAGCTATAAGAAATTCTTGATATTAGGTATAGATTATGAAGAAAATTTTTTATTCTTTACAGTAGAGGTCTGAAAATTTCATGTTGTGTCTTAGTGGTCTGAGCAACTACATTTGAAAAATATGAGCATGAGTATTTTTAAAGAACTTAGGTTTCTAGTGCGTACATGAATAACTGTAAGTCTAAACTAATGAAGTCTCACCTTCCCAAATCAGTAAAAAGAGAGCCGCCAATGTACCTCTTCATTCCTATGCCTTTGTTAAACCCAGATTATCCCTGAATCCCTTAGGCAAATCCCCTTTTAATGTCTTTCTCCAGCTAATACTTTTGGACTCCAGGACTCTCATTAAATGCTTCAGGGACCAGAACAAACTCCCGGTCAGGGTATCACCACCCAGGGACAAGAAAATGTAGTGAAACAGGAGTAGGTGTCCAAATTAGTTAACACCAGTGTGATACTGCTAAACAATATATGGCTGCCCTCTTAAAGAAGAAACCTACAGACCAAATACATGGTTAAAGATTTCTGTGACTGCCATGATTTGCCACCTGTCTGATTGTCACCACACTGCAGGCTACTCTCAGTATTGTTGAAAAGACTGGCACGGAGAACAGGGAGCCTGTTCATCATCTCATTGCCTCAAGAACATAATCTCACTGCCTAAAAAACATTTCTCCCATCAAATGAGGACTCTTCCTTCCAGTTTTCAACAAATCTTTCCTTGAAAACAGATTTTGGCTTTTGTTTCATCAAAAAGGATGTTTGTTCAATTGTGATAACAAAAGTAACAATGACAACATTTCTTTATGGTTTTTATTTAAACCAAAGCCAGAGCATCTCTAAAGAACAGATCTTTAGAAACAGCTGGAACATTAGCTTCAGAGTATGGGATGTAGACTAGTATAATGATTCTCAATTAGAAACTGTCAGAAAAAAGCTAGAGCACTCATGCTCCATTGAATGGCACCAACAAATGATTTAAAAGTCTATAAAGAAAAAAACATTAAAAATTGAAAAGCAATTTTTAATTCTTTGCAATTAACAACACTTTCCAAGAACAAATGGACATTAGCAAAGTCTCATGACTTGACACAAATATAATCACTACCGTGCCACCTGTTATGAACTTTTTATTCAGTAGTACAAGAAACATATCAGTAGTTAGGCCAGCAACAGCTGAAGGACTGTTGGTTTAGTCAAATATGGATAACATATTTTTTAATTTTAACCATATAGAAATGCCCTGTAGTCCAAAAGAACAGCAAGCCACCAAGTACAAACCAGAGTATTTTAGTCACAATGTCATTCAGCTTTGATTTGCTAATGGCTTTTTAAATAACTCTCTTGTCTGATTCTCTAAAATAAAAAAGAAAAAATGCAATCTAAGGATAGATATATTTTAAAAAACTTTCCTAATCTTCTTCTTCTTCTTCAAAAAAGTGCACTACGAAAGGAAAAACAAATCCTTGTGCGTGATTTACAATATATCAGAAGCGGTTACTACAGAGCAGCTCTGCAGCGCCTTATGAGGAAATGACAGGTAAGCAACAAATCACTTTCAGCAGCTGAGCTACACTGAAACGCAGGTCAGTAATGATGCCAATATATGAGCACAGATATAAAGGAAAATGTGTGGCCTGAGAAGCAGAAACAAGGACAAAAGCAAATGGTCCTCACTGAGAGAGCATAAAGTTATTAGCCATCTTCAAAGAAAAGTATTTTTCTCCTTGTTAGGCAATTTTGCAAATGGTGAGGAAGAAATTTCTAGAAGATGGGAGTATCCTTTATTTTCCATACTCCTTTTACTGAGAGCACCTTTAGAGAAGAAATCTGACAGTCCCAGAAATGTGACAGCAGTGGTTTTATTTGAGCAAAAGATTATTCTAATACACATCCAAACATTTTCTGTCCTGGACTAAGACCTCTGTTACAGAGTTCAAGCCATTCTGCAGTCCTGTTATTTTCAGAACATTCTAAATAATTTTTCAACCTACAGTATGAAACAGGTATAGACTAATTACAGAGATTATTGATGGCTTAAGTTTGCTCAGAGTTGCTCCCCTGGGGAAAATAAATCCCTTTCCAGAACAAACATAATAATTTCTGTTTTGGTTTGAGCTGCCATCCATCCTGTGTCAAAGATGGCTTTAATATTATTTCTCTCATCCTTTTTCCCCTCTCTTATTGGGAGACTGGACTAACAGGAGAAATGTAAGACACTGCAAAGCTAGTTTGCACTCTGTCTGTTTTACCCAGTCAAAATGTCTCATCTGGCTGCATTCACAGTCTAGCTTAAACCAACAGCAGACTTCCATTTTTCCAAGTGATTAATGTTTCTCCTTTAGAAAACACTGTAAATGTACTTTTAAATATTGCTCTTCATCAAACATATACTGTTCAATAGACAGAAACTTCCTATATTTCAAGTACTACACATCTAAAACTGAGGAAATAAAGATGATAGAAGTGCACGCTCTCTTTAATACCTTTGGCACGGTTCAGCTCTGCTGGAGTGACTAAGAGCAGCCCACCTACACAGATCAGAAGCCGTACGGGAGTTGCACTGAGCACATCATTTGACAAGAGCTGCAAAGTCCTGCCTGGCTGGGGGCCAAGCCAGGTTTCCTGGTAGGAATGTAGCCTTGGAGCCAGCTCCCCTAGTCACACTAAGTGTGCTATCTGCCTGCTTCAAACCAGGACATTTCACTTCTGTGAAAACTTTGAACCTGAGAAGATTATTGGGAAACTAGGAGCTGTATTTATGTCAGATGCACCTACTACATCAAGACTTTTAAAATTTTCTAGAAAAGAGCATTATCCTGTTGCTCCCTCTTTTACTAGGGTGCTTTTGTGAGCTGTATACCGGGGATTTATATATGGTTGACTGCAGAGCTTCAAGATTATTCCCGCTTCTCTTTTTTTTTTCCCTCTTATATTTTTCTTCAGACATTAAAATGGTTATATTCAACAGCTTTAAAATAAAATCCGGCAAAATATAAGTTTTATTGCTTCTCAATTTGTAGATCATATTACAGTTCTTGCAAGTGAACAAATTGGAAGCTTATGTCTTCCAGGCTAAATCCTGAGTGCACCATACAGAGTAAATATTGATTCTAGCATAAGGACTAAGGGTCAGATCCCGTCCTGTTCTAAATCTTTTCTGTCCAGCTCTGCCAGCACAAAGCCAGCCTAAAACCACAGTAACTGGCCCCTGAAGAATTTGTATTCTACAGGGCAAGTGTTAGCACAGACAAGCTGCAGTGGCTCCTATGAAATCCTTACATTCATGCACAGACCTCTGCCAAGACCCTTATTAGGCAAGTCTAGTTTATGTCTGGGATAAGTCCAGCAGCCTTACAAGAAAGAGGCCACCTCTGAGCTTTCCCCAACCTGTAACTGAGCAGAAAATTGCCTTGGTCTTTCAAGAAGAAAGACAGCACACTTTTGGCTTGCTGTCCTACCCTCCGGTTCCCTCTGCCCTACTAATGAGATTCTCCAAAAACCTGTTTGGTGTTGACATCACAGTGAAAAAGAAAAAAGATTGGAAAAAAATCCTATTAAAACATGTATTTATAGC